GCCGAGAACAACGAGGTTGTCCTCCTCGTTCTTCACCGCGTTGAGCTTGGCGAAGCGGACGATGCCGCCCTTGGCGGCCTTGATGTCCGACTGCTCGACGTCGCGGTTACCCACGCCGCCGATGTGGAACGTCCGCATCGTCAGCTGCGTGCCGGGCTCGCCGATACTCTGGGCGGCGATGATGCCAACGGCCATGCCCTCTTCGACCATCGAGCCGGTCGACATGTCCATGCCGTAGCACTTGCGACAGACGCCCAGCGCCGCCCGACAGGTCATCGGGCTGCGGACCTGGAGCTTCTCCAAGCCCAGGGCCTCGATCTTGCGGGCGATGTCGGCGGTGATCATCCCGTTCTCGGCGATGATCACTTCGTCCGTGATCGGGTTGACGATGTTCTGCCGGCTGACACGGCCCTTAATGATGTCGGCCAGACCGACCTCGACCTTCTCACCGCGGTAGAGAACGCCCTTGGTGATCGCCTGCGTGGTGCCGCAGTCATCGGTCGTCACAACGACGTTCTGGGCGACGTCCGCCAGTTTACGCGTCAGGTAACCCGAGTCGGCCGTCTTCAGCGCCGTATCGGCCAGACCCTTGCGGGCGCCGTGCGTCGAGCTGAAGTACTCGAGCACCGTGAGGCCTTCCCGGAAGTTCGCCTTGATCGGCGTCTCGATGATCTTGCCGGACGGCTTCGCCATCAGGCCACGCATGCCGCCGAGCTGACGCATCTGCTCGACGCCACCACGGGCGCCGGAGTGCGCCATCAGGAAGATCGGGTTGACGTACTGGTTGCCGCGGTAGTCGTTCTCCAACGCCGTCATCATCTCGGCCGTGATCTCTTCACGGGCGTGCGTCCAGGCGTCGAGGACGCCGTTGTAACGCTCGCCCTCGGTGATGATGCCGCGTTGGTAGAGCTTGTTCCGCTTGAGGACTTCCTTCTCCGCCTTAGCGAGGATCTTGCCCTTCGTGTCGGGCGTCACCAGGTCGTCGGTGCCGAACGAGAGCCCGCTCGCCGTGGCGCGCTTGAACCCGAGCTGGTTCATGTCGTCCAGCAGCGTGATCGTCTGGCGGCGGCCGAGGAACTCGTAGCAGTCGCTGATCACCTTCGACAACGCGCCCGAACGCATCGAGTGGTTGTAGAAGGGCATCCCCTGCGGGAGCATCTCGTTAAAGAAGACGCGTCCCACGGTCGTGTCGATTACGCGGCCGAGCTTCTTCGGGTCGTCCATCTCCTCGCGGAGGCAGCGGCCCTTAGGCAGGCGAACCTTAATCCGGGCGTGCGTGTGGACCTTGCCCACCGCGTGCGCCATCTCGACCTCCGCGAACGAACCGAACGCCATCCCGTCGCCGGGCGCCTCGGGCACGTCCATTGTGACGTAGTAGCAACCCATCACCACGTCCTGCGACGGGCTAATGATCGGCTGGCCGTTGGCGGGGCTGAAGATGTTGTGCGTCGACATCATCAGCGTGTGCGCTTCGACCTGCGCCTCGATCGACAGCGGCAGGTGGACCGCCATCTG